AGAAATAGAAGACACTGTACATATCACAGTTGTTCACAATGTGATACAAACCTCTTGGCAGTACATATGCTTTCTTAGACTCATTCACTTGAGTATAGTCCAATCAAGAAAATGCAGAGTAACATACAACGTTCAGATAATGTCTTATTAAACATTGGATTGCTCATTTTTTTTATTCTTTTCTAATCTTTAACCTGCTCAAATACAACATTAAAAAAAGCTGAAAGCTTTTATGTCGGCTGGTACAAACAGGTTCCTGGTTCTTCTTCTCATTTCTGAAATTTCATCATTATCACAGGTCAACTGCCTTTTCAGCAGGATTCTCCTCAGACAGATTAATATCTAAATCCTGACCAAACTCTGATTTCAAGTATATTATCAATCATTCAGAGACAGGAGACTCTGCAGTGAATTCCTGTCAGACATGGGAAGACTCTCCCAAGAAAGCTGGTTCATAGTGAAGCAGACTGTGGCCAAAATCTTATTGAGAGACAGTACAGCTTTGATTAATTCTGACCAATAATGAGGACTTTATTAAACCTTGCACAAAAAAGTGAAGGAATAAACATGACTACACACAGAGAGAGACACAGTTATAAAATACAAACAGATGAAGTGCATGATATGTTGACAGTGAAAGTTAGTCTCTACAGGATGTTTCAGTTCCTCTCCCCTCATCAGAGACAGTCAGGAGGTTTTTGTACAGCCATGTATACAAACTGAATCACTGTGGTATTCGGACAAGGCACCAAGCTGATTGTGACAAGTAAGTACTTTTTAACTGATCATAAAACAACAGAGATTTTGCAGAAATCTGCTGATGACTACTTAGTTCAATATGTTTCTTGTTCTGCATCATTTTTTATGATTTTGTACAATCTGAAATAGTTTCAGGTTGTCTCATATACGGGAGACATGAATTACATGTTTAAAAAATGTGAAATGGTGTCAAACCAATTCTCTGACAATGGTGTGAAATATATTGTTTTTCCGTTCTTATTGCTTTTAATTAATGTTTAATTTGGTATTACAAAAACAAACATAGGCCCGTTTTCTCTTTCTTCAATAGTTGTTAACACTGTTACTAAAGTTCAAAATTACTTTGAAGTGATTAGAACTTTTCTTTGATATGAAAGAAAATTACCCACATTAGCTGACATGTTATGCAGAAATGTGTAGAATTAAATCAAAGATATCTTACATGGAAAATTAAACAGTGACTGATCATATTTTATTTGGTAAAAATACAAAAAGAAATTCAAATGATATGTTGGATCCATATATTTTAGTTCATATTTTATACATTAGTTTTGTTTTCTTCTAACTTCATAACAAATGTTATGTTTATTCCATATTGACTCTTCTTGATTTCTTCTGGTTTTATGACTTAATGTCCAATTTCCTTCTTTCCTTTAATTTAGCTTTTTTTGTTTTCTGAACATCCTTCATGTATTTTCAGGCTCCAGCCTCTCTCCTCCTGTCCTGACAGTCTTCCCTCCGTCCAGTGCTGAGCTCCAGTCCAACACAGCTTCTCTGGTCTGTCTGTCCAGTCAGTCTGTGCATTTTGCAGATGTGAGCTGGTTGGCTGCTGGGAGTCCAGTGAGCAGTGGGATCTCTACCAGCACTGCTGTTCAGAGACCAGACCAGACTTACCAAATCAGCAGCTCTCTGACCATCCAGACATCAGACTGGAACATGGATAAGGTTTATACATGTAAAGTGTCTTTGGGCTCACAGACTTCAGAGAAAACCATCAAGAAGTCAGAATGTCCCACTGAATAGTCGAGGACCAGAATGTGCTTTTAAAATCTGCTTGTTTACTGCTTGTGCTGTTTGCTCATTACAGTCTTTACGTGTTAGAAATCAGAATAAAGCAAAAGGTTTAAGTCATGTACTCATTTGCTGGTTTTTGACAAGTATTTTCAGGAATTCGTGTTTTGCATTAAATTAATAAAAGCATTGATTTAAAAAATGTGTTTCCTTGTGAGTAAATGGGAAAATGGGTCACTGTGTTATAAATAACATAAGTTTAAGGTTATTAAAATGAACTGTTAAATTTTGGAGAGGGGCACAGAGAGGAAAAAAACACTCATAAGCACACCATTTTTTAAAAATATCTTCTTCCCATATGTTTTAACTTAGTTAAAAAAAGAGATTTTCTGACATACACGCTATGTAATATTTGAACACTAGAGAGCATCATTTAATAATTCTTCCTGAGTAACAGAGAGAGCAAGTGTCACCGGTTTAAAATGTTGCAAATGAATCTTCACACTCAGTTAGTGAAGCATAACCTGTCTGCTCTTCTGTTTTTTCGTGTCCATGATGCACCTGCAGGTCTTATAACCTCATGTAAATGAAGTATCAGCTCTCTGTAAAATAAAATGCAACTGCTGTTTACTGGAAATGTTTTAGTTACTACCATTTGATCATTCAGAGACAGTTAGCTGAATCCTGTTTGATTTTTGCCTGAACATAACTTTATTTACTGTTATGGAACACTAAATAGAGTCCAGTTATGAAATGAAATGTGTTACACCCCAAAACACATAAAAAAGGAAAAATAACGCCCCCGCTCTAGGAAAGACCAATGCTGCCACAGGGTTGCGCTTTCACAACAAACAGATATTTTGTTAATTTCAAAAGGTAGCAAGCATCAAGATGGGCATGGCCAAAACAACAAACAAAGCACTCTAGAAATGAAACAGAACTGACCTACCTATAACGAGAAACCCAAAAGAAAATACTGGCCTCTTACCTGTCTCCCTAACCTAAACAGGAGAAAAAGGTTTTGTCAGGTCACAAATTTTGAAGCTTTTGAATCCAATTAAAATCAAATCACTCATACTGATTCTCTGGAAAAGAGCAGAACAGACTTAGAACAGAGTTTATTAAACATTGTCATATGAACAGCAGAACAGTGCATTTACAGCAAAAATAACACATAGCAATCAACACAAACAAAAGCGAAGCAACCCTGGGGTGTAGAGCCTTAAAGCACAAACAGAAACACATCCAAAAGACAAACAGGAAACAAGCAGCAGACAAAAGCTACCCAATGCATATTTCACTCATGTTATTTAGGGACAGTGATCCCCCCTCCCATCGTTGGGTATCCTTTCATCCTTTTTTATTTCTCTTCATCTTCTTTTTGACACTCTTCCACATCCTGATAACACAGAGATAAAGCAAACTCATTATAAACCCACCAAGATAAAGTGGTGGGTTTACATTTTCTGCAACACATTATGCAGATAATATTTTGTAGTTTTTCTCTGTCAATTTTTGCAAATTTCTCAAAGCAGAATCATCATAACACTCATTATGCAGTTCTGACAAACAGTTAGGGCATTTTTTATGACACAGACTCACCTGTGCACAGGACACCCCAACAATTAAAAAAAAACAAAACAACCTTTTCACATTCGCCAAAACACAAATAACATCGTCAGCTTTTATTATTATTGTACTGTAGCATATGTCTGATCAAAAACTGTGAAGGTTCTCAGTCATCCAGGTCATCTTCTTTCCAAGCTTCTTAGAATTTGATCAAAAAAATGCTAATTGTGAATATGATTTCAAGCCACAGACAAAATTGAAAAAAAAGACAAAGACAAAATTGAAAAAAATGAGACTACACAAATTCATTTGGCATTACAGTTCAGTAATTTCACTAACTCGTGCTTAACTAAAATTCAGTCAAAATAAAACAAGACTGCATCAAACTCAGAGTTATGATCTCATTTGTTATGAAAAAATATATATATATGAATATAAACCAGATACACTGATTAAGTACTTTATTTTTTGAAGAGTAAATTCAAAGATATGAAATCACTGAGATTAAAACAATAATGCTCATATAAAGACAATGTTCACTGTATGAAATTATCAATAATTTATTTCTATAAATAAAAGCTGTATTGCCAAATCTCCTCCTCTTTTACTTCTGCTCCTCTGTGTCTTTATAAGCTTCAGTATCTCTTCTCTTCTCACTACAGCACCTCTCATCTTTCAGCTGGACAGTTTCACCACCTAATATCATCATGTTGGGAACCCTCTGTGCTCTCATCTCTGCTCTAACGTGTAAGATTTTCTTCTCATTTATATAACAGTTTGTATATTTTGAGGTAAATCTTTCACTCATTTATTTCTGTGTTTCCTGGCAGATGGTGATGCAGTGATAGTTTTGGCCCAAACACCTGCTGTTCACACAGTTTCTCCAGGTCAACAAGCTGTTCTCAACTGCAACATAGAGAGATATGACAGGAATTATATTAACTGGTATAAACAAGTTCCTGGAGGGATTCCTCAGTATGTTCTAAGATTTTGTCATTCTAGCAGCTCACTCAGCTTTGGAACAGGATTCTCCTCAGACAGATTCAACTCTAAATCCTCATCAAATATTGATTACCAGTTCATTATCAAGCGAACAGAGACAGGAGACTCTGCAGTGTATTTCTGTCAGACGTGGGATGACTCTGCTTCTGCACCTGTATCACAGTGAATCAGGCTGTGACAAAAACGTCCTCATTATTACTTCTGCTTTTTCAGACTCTTTCCCTTACAGATTATAGATTTATCAAGAAAATTCTAAAGAAAACGTATGGTGTTATTTTTGTGCCACTATTCTGAGCGCACATAAATAAAAACGCACCACCTTCAGATAATGTGTATCAAAAGGAAAACAATGAAACACATTCACACATTATCAGATAAATCAAAATTCAATTTCTCTCAACCAATTTGGTGCAATTCTCACAGCAGAAAGGTCATTCTGACCAGTCTACATGCTTAGCTCAAAACAGTTAGGGCATTTTTCATAACTCACACTCAACCATGCAAAAGACAATGTAACTATTTCATATTTGTCAAAACATGAATAGTCTGTCAGTCACCTCATCTCTGTGATAAATGATCATTTCCCCAGCCTGAAGACCAATTCATTAAAATGTGTATTTTTTTGTTTAGTTTTGAGATAGAATAGAATAGAATAAACCTTTATTATCCCACAAATGAGAAATGAGGTTTAAATATTTCTGTAAGGAATAGGAACACCTTTTTAGACAGCGCATCTTGAAACTAGAGAATTTACACTCGTTCCATTGGCAGATATTTTCACTTGTTCCAAGCTTTTGCTCTCTTCCTGCCCAGCATACACCTGCAGGTCTTAGTTCTCAGGTCTCATTCATAACCTCATGAGAAATGTTGAAATACAAAGAGCTGAAGCTGAAATTTTGCACTTAATATCACTTGTTGAGGAACTTTGTGTTAGGGTACCTGGGTCATCGACCAGGAGTTTTGAGTTTTGCATTACTATTGAGCTTTGATTTTGATTTTGTTTATCATTTCTAGTCTTTTGGTTTCTTTGTTGGAGTTCTCTGCCTCATGGTTTATGTCTCTGTGTTCCATAGTTGCTCTGTCTCCCCTGTCAGCTGCATCCCCTTGTCAAGTCCACGTGTCTGTGTTATGTTTCCTGTTTTACTTTGAAAGTCCATGTCGCATGTTAATGTATCTGGTTTTGCTTCCCTTGTCTTGTTAGCCCTGATTTGTCCCAGCTGTGTTTCCCTCCTGTCTCCCATTCCCTGATGGCTCCATCTCTGTATTAAGCCCTGTGTTTTCTTTGGTCTGTGTCACAATCTCCATTCTCCCATGCTGTCCGTCTACCTGCCCGCTGGCCAGCCGGCCGGGCGTATTCCCAGTTTAGCCAGCCTTCAGTTTTTGTCACTCAGTAATAAATCTTTGCTTTAAGTCTGCACTTTTGGATCCATCATTCCTCCTATCCTGCCTGCACACAGCCTAAACATGACACTTTGAAATATAATTTAAAATAGCCAAATTTAAATATAACCAATCAGAATTTTTTTTTTTATTTATTACTTTTTATTTAGCAAGTTTTATTTATTTATTTTTTTTGTTCATAACAATGAAGGAAATAGCATCTCCGTCAGCTGTCATGATATAAACTGCTGTGACAAATTTTGACATAATTATATCATTTTTATTTTGCTGCTGAATCTTAATGGTTTATCACAGGGTGGGAATTTCAAGCTGCAAACTGTTTCTGTTTTTAAAAAACTGTTTTTATACATCACATTTGTAAACAGGCCCATCTTATTTACAGATATTTAGTTATTTAATTAGATGATCCCACTGTTGTGCAAAGTCACCACAAAGTTTGACATGTGAGAGAATAACTTTCTGTGAAAATGATTTTTTTACTGAGCTAAAGCTGAAATTGTAAACTTTATGTTGCTTCAGAATATGCTAATCTAATTATAGTTTTTAAATACAATAAAAGTTAAAAGTATAAAATAACCAACCATGGAAAAAGAATGGCTATTAACCATTACAAAATAATAAAAAAAAAAACTGTATATACAAGACATATTATTATTGTTATTAATATTAATAACACAGGCAAGCGAAAAAAAGAAAACTCCAATGCTCCTCCTCCTGTTAGTTGTATTAAATAGCTCCTCCACCATCATCTCTCCACTCAGTTCTCAGCCCACTCAGACAACATGCTGGTGACTCTCTGTGCTCTCATCACTGCTCTAACATGTAAAGAGTCTAAAATATACTGAAGAATAGACTTCATGTTACAGTTAAATGTCAGTGTGTTTCTTTATCAGTGAGGAAAGGAGAGACAGCCACCATGGACTGTAACCTGGGGACTGTTACTGGCTATGTTGCTGCCTGGCATAAACAGATTCCAGGAGGAAGTCCTCAGTTTGTGCTGTATTTTCATTATAGCCATAGTTCTCCAAGCTATGGCTCTGGGTTCTCCTCTTCAAAATTCACATCCACTCATCAGTCAAGAACAGATTATCGTTTGATCATCAAGAATGTGGAGGAGGGAGACTCTGCAGTCTATTACTGTCAGACATGGGACGGCTCTGCTGATAGTGGGGTATCACAGTGATTCACACTGTGACAAAAACCTCCTCACAGATACTTCTGCTTTTTGATGCTCTTTCACATGCTGAAAAAAAGACACATCCAAGAAACACACTGAAATCCCACCACCTTCAAATACTGTGTTATTTGTCTTGTTTTGTTTTTTAATTAATTTTAATCTTCATCATTGAAAATATGAATAAAGCAAGCAGAGGAATATAGAGATATTATTCAGCCAAAACATGTCAGAAGTGGACTAATACTGTATATAACTAAAAGTTATCTATAAGTAAAAAGAAATTTAGTAAACACCAGTCTCAGCTCTTAAATAGTGATGACTATACATCAGGCAGAAATAAATATAAGACGAGAAGAAAACATGTGATGTGTGAGGATAAGGGCATTTGCATTTAAACTACAACTGTTCTGAATTTGTTGAGACTTGTTCTACCTCATGTTCTTGTAAACGTTACTGTTTATTCTTTTCACATAAGTCCTGCTCACATTTCAGCTAGAAAGAGATTGGTGTTAACACCTAAAACTGTCAATAATCAGTTACATAATATTTATTCCCTTTACAACAATATTTTCATGAGCAATATGTCATGACAGCCATAAGTGTGTCGGTTGAACATGAGCCAGAAACATTTAATTGATGTTATTTGCGTTATAAATGATTTTTTATTCTATGAATGAAAATCATTTTGTTGAATCTCCTCCTCCTTTGGTTTGCCTCTCCTCTGTGTCTTTAAGTGTCAGTATCGCTTCACTGAAAAAAAGGCACTGGCCATCTCTTGGATTTATGTAAGCATCTTGCATGTATTTAACACAATTGCCTCATGTTTTAAAGATAAATGTAACCATATCGTGTAAAAACTACATGATATGCAGAAAGGGTGTATTAAATTGTTCATATCATGTTCAGGTGAAGTAAGTCAATAAGATAGCAACATTAAATCTCGTGAAACCACGCGTGATTTCATCTCGCGGGCTTTGGATCGTGGTTCAAAAAAGGCATCCATCTCAGTCAAGTCGTGCAGCCAACTCTACGTTTTTGGTATGTCTTGATTTTTTGAATTAATATTTACCATATTTCAGCCAAATGTAGTTAAACGTCTAGTGTCGCAATGTAACATGCTAAAAAAGACCCGTTAGCTTATTTGCTGTTTTATCTGTTGTCAAAGAATTGGCGCTTTTTCATTTGAATTTATCTTTGGCACAATTAAGAGCCGTAATATCACATTAAACCTAATTATGAGGCACTCATAACATAATTAGGTTTTCTGTGTGAATAGATTTGCCAACTGACTCTTCAGTTACATTGTGTATTTACTGCACCGTGGTGTTAGTGAGATTTTGGACATTGAACAGCTTTAGCTAATATCATTAGCGGCATTATGCTAGCTTACATCCCTACCCCTCCTGCCCTCACCTGCTGTCCTTTTGTTTCTGTTTTTT